ACGAGCAAGTTGGAGTGAAAAGAGACGGTGATCTTAAGCGATTGGCATGATACTGTCTGCCTTTTGCAAATTTTACAGAAATGTCCAACTATGTGAACACATAGCTAGGACTCCTTTCAGGGTGTTGGAAGGTGCCCATGTAGTGAGGGGCCTGGAAGCTTTACAGTAAATCCACCTCTGCCAGGTTTGAGGACGTCCATCTGTGACACATCTGTCAGCTTCCTCCCTCAAGTGGCCTCTTACATTTCCATGTGGATTTTGCTAGTTCTTTCTCAGAGGCCAAGGCTCCCCACATGACTTTACAGAAGAAGCCAAACGTGTTAGATGAATAAATAATGGATATTTTGAAACCATATTTTAGTCAGTATAATCTTTCTCCCTTTTTCCTTTTTTTTTTTTTTCTTTTTAAGGCAGGATCTTGCTCTGTCGCCTGGGCTAGAAGGCAGTGGCATCATCATAGCTCACTGCAACCTCCAACTCCTGGGCTAGAGTGCAGTGGTATCATCATAGCTCACTGCAACCTCCTGGGCTCAAGCGATGCTCCTGCCTCAGCCTTCCAAGTAGCTGGGACTACAGACACGTGCCACCACTCCTGGCTAATTTTTCTATTTTTTTTTGTAGAGCCAGGGTCTCGCTATGTTGCCCAGGCTGGTCTCAAACCCCTGGGTTCAAGTGATCCTCCCTCCTCTTCTCTCCCAAAGTGCCAGGATTAGAGGCTTGAGCCATCACACCCAGCCTATTCTTTAATACTTTTTTCTATTTCTTTAATAACATACCTGTTGGAGTATTGTAAGGAGGGCAGGAGGATGGGGATAAAGGCTTGCTAAAAGGGGCATACAAGATTACAGATGCTATGCTAAGATATCACTACCTCTTTGAAAACGTTTTGGCTTTAAGGGGCTGCCAAAGGGGCCATGCTACCTATAGCCAAGTGATTGTTGTTGAGCTCAGGCCAACTTGAATGAATTATCATCCAGAGGTGGTTAATATTGAAGGAAGTGACAATTTGGATGTTCACTCTCTTTAAAGAACATAGGTCAAGAAGACTGGGCCGGGCACAGTGGCTCACGCCTGTAATCCTAGCACTCTGGGAGGCCGAGGCGGGTGGATTGCTCAAGGTCAGGAGTTCGAGACCAGCCTGAGCAAGAGCGAGACCCCATCTCTACCAAAAAAAACAGAAAGAAATGATCTGGACAACTAAAAATATATATATAGAGAAAAAATTAGCCGGGCATGGTGGCACATGCCTGTAGTCCCAGCTACTCGGGAGGCTGAGGCAGAAGGATTGCTTGAGCCCAGGAGTTTGAGGTTGCTGTGAGCTAGGCTGACGCCACGGCACTCACTCTAGCCAGGGCAACAAAGCGAGACTCTGTCTCAAAAAAAAAAAAAAAAAGAAGACTGGGTTTAGGTATTTAAAAAAAACGATTTCATTTTGAGAAAAACATGGACTATTAAGGCAATTTTGGATCAATCTTTGTTGCAGCTCTTAGTAGATCATCAAATTCTCATCTTTCTGAGACAATTTAGACACAGGTTTATTTCATGTTAGGAGACTAAGCAAAATCACTGTTCTAGATTCCTTCCAGTTGAAATGATATTCAGTATGGGCGTGCCTTATTTGCGACAAATCCAATATCCTAAGTTCAATTTACAAAAAAGAAAGAAAGAAAAGAAAGTGTGCAGGGATGGGGACATGGGAAGTACATTATGAAAGGACTTTTTAATGTAATAAAGAACTCCTTACAAGTTTAGTTTACATAACAAGCTGTCTTCTAGTATGTTTGGACTAGGGGTCAGTAAACTACAGCCTGTGGATCAAATCTGGCCTGCTGTCTGTTTTTGTAAATAAAGTTTTATTGGAACACAGCCACACTGCCCATTTGTTTACATATTGTCTATGGCTGCTTTTGTGCAACAACGGCAGAGCTGAAGAGTTGCCCACAGAGACCATATGGCCTGCAAAGCCTAAAACATTTGCTATCTGGTTCTTTTTAAAAAAAGCTTGCCGACTCTTGGTTTAGATTATGATCAGATTTACAAAAATTCAATTATGCACAGAGTGTTTGGTAGGAGATGTGGTTTGATTTTACTCAGTTGCAAGGTCCATGCAGAATTTAATCTGGGGGTAAATTTTATAGGCTGAAGACTAAATTTTCACGGCAGTGAGAAGCCTAAATAAATAGTTCTCCTCTCATAACATCTGTCCTTTTCTAGTTATGGCAGCTAAATATAGTGCTGACTAATCTACACAAATTATTTGAGGTTAAATTGGGTTCTATAGATATAAAACAATGTTAGGATTCTGTGGTTGGCTTTAGGAAGTACTCAGATGTCATTTTCACCTTAAATTAAATAAATGGTTTAGATGAGGGCATTGTTGGTATGGTAAACTGTTTTAAACCAGACAATGATTTGACACTAGACTATACTACCTATTGCTTTCATTTTCTGTCTTATAAATATATGGCCTTGAATTTGTGATGTCACTTTGTCAGCTTTTTAATATGCTTCTTGACATCAACCTGAATGGAATAGTCAAATTGCCTTTGAATTGGCTCTATAAAATATTATTATTAGTACTGTTATTATTATTTTTAGAGATAGGGTCTTGCTCTGTCACTCAGGCTGGAGTGCAGTGGTGCAATCATAGATCACTGTAGCCTCAAACTCCTGGGCTCAAGTGATCCTCCTGCCTCAGCCTCCCAAGTACCTGGGACTACAGGTGTGCACCACCATGCTCCACTTATAAAAACTTAATTTTTAAAGTTTTTAGATCTTCATGATTTTTTGAGTTTTGGTTTCTCCTTCCAGATAGGGAAATGTATTTTGGATCCTATGTGCAATTTCTGGCATGAGTTGATGGTCTTTCATAGTGTTTTGGGTTGAATTGTGTCCCCACCATCTCCTACCAAAAAAATAAAAAGACATATTGGAAGTACTAACTTCCAGTACCTCAGAATGTGACTTTATTTGGAAACAGGGTTGTTGCAGATGTAATTAGTTAAGATGAGGAAGATGAGGTCATACTGGAGTAGTGTGGTCCTCTAATCCCATATGACTAGTGTCCTTATGAGAAGACGGCCCTGTGAAGACAGAAACACGCAGGGAGAACACCATATGACCACAGAGGCAAAGAATGGAATTAAGCAGCTGCAAGCCAAGGAATACCAAAGCTTGTCAGCAAACCTCCAGAAGCTAGGAAGAGGCAAGGAAGGATTCCCCTACAGGTTTCAGAGGGAGCTCCGCACTGCCCCACACCTTGCCTTCCAACTCCCACCCTCCAGAACTGTGAGACAATATATTTCTGCTGTTTGTGATACTTGTTATGGCAGCCTCAGGAAATTAATACAGAAAGTAAAGACAAAATGTGAAATTGACTGTCAACTGCCTGTGCTGAGTAGGGATATGAAAACATGAGGGTGAAACCCTCACATAATTCAAATGTTTCGTATGTTCCATTGGTTAGAAATTCCCTTGCACTGAGATATTCTAACAAGTTGCTTGTTGGTTTTTCCTGCCTTTTCCTGCCCCTTCTCCTTCCTTGCCCTCTCTGAGAGGGGAATCCTACCTGGCAGTAAGGACATGATGTGAGAATGGCAAAAACCATGACTCAGATGATCCACCCTCATCTCATCGGTCCCTGACATGTGGGGAATTTCCGTAACTCTCTAGGGTGGACAGCTTGGAAGCCCACCTGGAGAGCTGGCTGCCATCTTAGAGAAGTAGTAGGGTAGGAAAGGGCTTTGTACTTTTGTCCCTGATGAAGTGCAACAGCCCTGACAGGAGCTGAAAGCTGCCCTCTACCTCGAAGCAGGAGAGCGCCTCCAAAGCTGGGCTTCGGAACAGCGCCACCTGGAGCCAAACCGCCAACTGATTTTTCTTTTCTGGTTCAATTGGGATTTTAACCTACAGTTATGGTAACTCGAATGTCTCTAAAGGCTCCATCTGTAGGAAAATTTCTCTTCCCCAACCTAGCTAAGGTATGGAGAGCTAATCTTATCTGCTTGGTTAAAAAAAAAAGAAAAAGCTAACTCTTTGATCTGCTGTTCTTTACTTGGTGAGCCCTACAAGTCAGGTAAATAAATCAATGTTTAAGATCCTTGGCGACAACGTAAGGCATCACTTGAGCGACCTTCTCTATAATAGAGGATGGTAGTAATTGCAGAGATTTATGGAGCCAATAATTCATGGTTGGCTTAGCTCAGCAAAATCAAATCACAACATTAACACTATTTAATGATGAATGATTTATTTTATTTATTAAAGAATATTTAATGTTTCCACAAGTGGTAACATGTCAAAGAATCCACATTTTACATTCCTATGGTGTGAGGTAGGGGGTCAAAGTTAATATTTTTCCACATGGATCCAGTTACACCATCACCATTTATTGGCAAGACTTTTTTTTTTTCTCCATTGAATTGTTTTTGTGCCTTTGTTGAATATCATTTCACCATATATGTCTTATACCTTGCAATTGTATAACACCTTATAGTTTTCCAAGCTTTTTAATGTTCATTTCACTCATATAACAACTTTGTGAGATAGGCAGGGCACGTATCATTAACCACATTTCACAGATATGGGAACAGGTTCAGAGAGGTTAAGCAGCTTGTTTAAACTCCCACAGCTATAAGCAGCAGACAGGATAAAAAATGGTCTCTGAGGAACCATCCAGTCCTCACTGCTGTATATCCTGCTTCCCACCTCATGGTCACAGTATATGGCTTTCATTTCAACCTGCAGTTGCCTGCTGAATATCTGAAATTCTTTGCAACAGCTGGAATTCAACATGTCCAATGGAATTCACTCCCCCTCCCCATTATCAAATCTATTTCTTTCTTTTTCTTTCTTCCTTCCTTTCTTTTTCTTTCTTTCTTCTTTCTTTTCTATTTTGGAGTTCCCTGTATTTCTGACTCTTCTTTTACAACCATCCCTGCGTGGGTAATTCCCTCATATAAGTTTCGAGCTCTCAACAGTGGCATGGACTGGGCTCCAGGTCATAGGATGCTCTCTGGCCACACTGAAAGCAGGGGATGGTACTGAACATGATCCTCTTGGGCTGCCTGCAGTCCCTCAGTATTTCCAACCTGAAGCTGGAGAAATCTTTCCCAGTAGTTATCTTCAAAATCATAATAATAACATTCCCAAGGGGCAGGATATATCTCTAGGCTTAACTTCCTCAGCCCAATGGTGTGGTGTATCAGGTTTTCTAGGATGGCCTTGGAGATTTGGTTTCCACAGAAGTTAAAGGTCATGAGCTGATGGCAGTGGCTCAAAGTAGACAGGATGACACTGAGTTGGGAGTCTGTGATCCAGTAGTCCTTTAGAAGCAGGATGTGGAGTGTGGCTGAAATGTTCTCTAGTAGAACTTGGAGGGGCTCAGGATTGAAATTACTCAGTGTGACGCCGGTCAGGTCCAGCTCCTTTAGCTGACTCACACTTGGGCACAGGAATAGATTCTCCATTTCTGGTTCTGAAAACCAGCACTCAGTTATTGCAAGGGACTCCAAGGGGGTCTGGGGGCACCTGAATAACTGGTCCAGTTGCCCTTTGAAGAAGAGGACAATATACATATAAAGCTTTGGAGGTTGTCCAGCTTGAGGAACATAGAGGTGAATTGGGAGATAATCTGTTCCTGCATCTCTTGCCAAGTGTATTTAAGCCCATAGATGAAGAAGAAATGGAGTTTGTGAAGATTTCTCATCTGGCCCAGGTAAGGGACAAACCCTATTAGTTGGAACAGATCCCAGGAGCTACCCACTCTCACATCCTGGATACAGTTCAGGTCCCCCATTTCCATGACCTTTCTAAGAATGTGGATGAGCATCAAATCTACATTTCTTCAGTCACCAAAACATTGGCTTAAGTGTTTACCTTTTTTTTTCTTTTCCTCACCTTTTGTAACCTAGTAGATATTAAATACTGGACTGCTGGCCAGTTTTCCTCTATATTGTTCCTCACAGTTGACTCTTCCACTGGGATTTGCCCCACTGCAAGCCCCACTTTGGGTCTGAATCATGGCAGAAGTCTCCTCTTCTCTAGAATAGTGGCTCTCCACCCTGGCTGCATATTGGAATCTTCTGGGGACTTTTCTCTCTCTCTCTCTCTCTCTCTCCTTTCTTCTTTACCCCCCCCCACCATTCTCTCCTTCCACTCTCCTTTCCACTCCCCTTTCTTCCTTTTTTCTGTTTCATTTCTTTTCTTTTTCCTTCCTTCTTTCTTTCCTCCCTTCCATTGAGATATAATTCGCATAGCATACAATTCGCCCTTTCAAAGTGTACAACTCAGCGATTTTTTTAGTATATTCACAGTTGTGCAACCATCACCACTCTTTAATTCCAGAATATTTTCATCATCCCCAAAAGAAACCCCATACACCTTAGCAGTCATTCACCTGAGGAGTTTTGAAAAAGTATTAATGCCTGGGGACCACTCCCAGAGATTTTGATTTAATTGGTCTGGGGTGGGGCTAGGGCATCAGTATTTTTTAGAAGCTCCCTGGGTGATTCTAATATGCGGTGAGGGTAGAGAACCACTGTGTCTAGGCCCTTTCCACTGGAGTCCATTCCTACAGGTGCAGCTTCCTAATACATTGTTTTTATCAAGTCATCCCCAGCTCAAAAACCCTCAGTGGTTGTCTGTTTGCTAGAGCAAAGCCCATCCTGGCATTTAAGGCCTCTTGGGACTGGTTCCCCATTTCACACCTATCTGTCTTGTTATCTTCTTTCCCTCTTTATGGCTGTTCTGTCTCAGCCAAACTGATTCAATTCTTGTTTCTTAAACTCCAAAATGTGACAAGTCACATTCCAGCCTGAGCTCTCACCAAAGAATCTGTGGCTGGCTGAGGTGGGGGAGCCTCTAGAATGCAGGTGCTGTTTGTGGAAAGACACAAAATATTGGGATGTTTAGTTACCTCACAGCAACACGGAATGATTACACTAACCAAAAATCCAAGTATATTTTAAGAAATATTTTTTAAAAAATCACAGACAGGAGCAAACATGTCCTTGAAAAATGACAACTGTTTTCTCCTAATATTTGCTTTACACATTCCTTTATTTTGTTGACTTCTAGCAGATAAGCAGTAACAAAGCAAGCAAAGGGAGAACAACTTATATTTCATCTGCTAGCAATTTGTTCTTGCATGTGTGTGTTTGTGGGGAATGAGAGGGCAAAGAACTGGGGGAAAAAACTATCCTGCCAGATCATCTTTGTTAGAAGAGACTGCGCCAGGGGTGCCCCCATCCAGGCCCACCCACATGCCACAGGGATATGGAGGGCATGTTCTGTCTCCCCACTTGTAAGTCCTTTAGAGGCAGGACTGTGCTCTTCTGTCCTCTGTATCCTCCACATCTGACACAGTGAGGGCCCTCCTGTTATCTGCTTCAGGTCTCCAAGGACACTGCCCCAGCTCTGGGATCACTCAGACCTTCCCTCCTAAATTGTGGACCCCTAGACGAGTTAGCTTCTAGGCCTCATTTTTCTTATCTGAAAAATGGTGAAAGCAATGCCTATTTCAGCTTAAATGTTTTTGGGAGACAACTCTCTATGGTCTCTTGCATATCTGCAGGGTTTGTGAGTAGTGGCACGTCTCATAAAAACAGAGAGCTTTTGATCCAGACTACCTTTTCAAGGATGTTTGTATAACAAACAGCCCTGGAAGATATAATGTCTCCCTCCAGAGCAGAGGGCAGATTTGCTTGCTGTCCTACAGTATAATAAAGATAATGTCTCCTTCTGGAGCAAAGGTCAGACAGGCCTACTGCTTATTATAAAAGATTTGTGTTTCTGAAGCTTAGGGTTCCTCTACTGTAATGCAACCCACTATGTGTACAGGCTTCACTTGGCCATCACTGTATCACGTTTTGGGAATTGGAGCTTGGAAAATCAAGACAAATGATGATGCTCTGGTTACTACTATTATTATGAGTAATAAACTGTCCTTTGTCTCTGACCCAGGAGCCTTGTGTCTTCTATCAGCACCCATGAAACTGTGCAACACTAACTTGTTAGCTTGCAAGTGTAGGGGTGAAGAGAATTTCCTCCCCCTCCCGCTTCTCAAGGTCCAATGGTTTGAGTCTATAAAGCAAACTGAAAATAGAGCAACAGGAAAAGAGGCATACAAATTTATTAATGTTTATATAGGCTGGGGAGTCACACGCAGGGTGTGAAGCCCAAAGGAGGGGCCAGATGACTAGAGTTTTTATAACATCTTGAAGTTACAGAAAGAATAGGGGCTTGGAGTATGGCAAGATAAGTTATTGGGAGGGGGGAGGGAGAGAGGGAGAGAAAAGCAGGAGGCAAAGTCCGTCTTGTTATGCAGATAAAACCTCACAGGTAGCTGCCTCAGAAAGAATAGATGGCAGCCTATGGAAACAATTTCTCTCTCTCCTTTTCCTGTGTGAGATAATGTTTCCTAGATCCAAGTGGGGGGTCTCAGAGAAAGCCTGTTTGCACCTGCTGTTTACTTCACTTTCCTCATGTAGATTTCCTCTACAGATGCAAATCTCCCCCACAAAAGACAGCTTTTCAGCTATTCTTGTGTTTTCAGCCCCTCTGAAGAGCCATCTTGAAATAAGTCAAAGAAGTATATTTTGGGGTGAAATATTTTTCACAAGTAGGGTAAAATCTGAGTCCTTCAGTTTTTGAGAAATAAATGTAAATCACTTAATGCAAGTTCTTGACATGTACACAACAGTTTCTCAATAAATGGTAACTAAATGTACAGTGATGACTGACGATGAAAGGACAGAAAGATGCCATCAATTTGTTACCAAAAGTTCAGTACTTATTACCGAGGCTGAATCAGTGAAAACGAAGAACAAGGACAAGTGGTTTAAGGAAAAGGAAGAAGTTTATTAATTTCCTGGTAAATGAGGAGGGCAATGGACTAGTATCTCAAAGATTGCCGTCCTGACTTTAAGCAGAAAAACAGGGCTTTTTAAAAGGGGGGTTTTCTGCAGCTGGGCTCAGGTCTATGTGACTGGGTGTCATATGCCATGGCTTCGGGCTATTGTTATTTAACTACAATTGGTGGTTTCTGTAGACCTTATCTCCTGTGAGGAAGATGTCTTATGACTAAGATCTTGTGACCCTTGGACAATTCTGTTGAGCCATCTCCTGTGGTTTAAGACACAAGAAAACAAACAGCAAAGGACATTTTTCTGCTCCTTTGATTACTGGCCTGGGGGAAGGAATGCACGTTTTAATTCCCCAAATGGTGGGGGTTTTAGAGAGACAACTCATAAAACATTTTGTTGCCCTTTTTCCAACTTTTACCTCAGTTACAAACTTTTTACTTCACTTCTCCAGAAAATAAAACATTAGAAGCCTAAGAGTGTCTAGTGGAGGGATAATAAAGAGAGATGGCCATGTCAAGGAGCCCTGGCCTACTAGGATGAAGGAACAATTTTACCAAAGGCCAGAAACTCAGCTTCCCAGGCTCCAGGCAACAGCATCTTTCTCCAACTCTGTTTGCTTTTTGACTTCCAGGTCTTGGAGAGGAAATAAGGGAGTGTGTGGGAGACAGGAGCCTCAGTGTGAGAGGGGTTTCATGAAGCTGAACTTGTTAGGAAGGGTACTTGGGAAGGATGGGCCAGAGCCCCCAGGCTCCAACATCAACTACATCTGGGCTGAGGCTACACTGGGCCTGCCAGCTGACTCATCCTCTAGAGCAGGGGTCCCCAACCTATGGCGAGTTGTATACTTATTTCATTATATATTACAATGTAATAACAATAGAAATAAAGTGCACAATGAACATAATGCACTTGAATCATCCCCAAACCATCCCCTGCCCCCAGTTCATGGAAAAATTGTCTTCCATGAAAATGGTCCCTGGTGCCAAAATGGTCGGGGATCGCTGCGAGGGAAATCACCCTGCAGCTTCCATTATGAGAGGCGCTCAGGGCTCACTCCCATCTAATGGAATAAATCCTATCCATGGGCCACAGGAGAGTATGGCGCAGGTATCATTCCCAGAACTCGGGAGGAGTTTCTTCTGAGCACGTGATGAATCAGGCATGCCAAGGAGAAGGGCAAGGTATCTGCTCTCCCAACAACCACTCTTAACTTTTTCTTTGTTTTTGCTGATTCATATTAGAAAGAAATCTGTGTGCGACAACAGAAAGAGCTGCCTCCTCAAGGGCCTATTTTTCTTCCTGGGGAGGGTTTCCTCTACTTCCACTTTCAGGATTTTCCAGTCTCATGGGCTTGCAGTGTGGCACCAAGCACTGGGATTAGGGGCCTCTACTTGTGTTCTAGTCCACTTCTGCCCTCTACCTGCATGCCAGTGGCAAATCATGGAATCTCTCTGTGCCCGTTTCCTTGTTACACAGCAGGACTAATGCCGCCTGCTCCGCCTGAGTCCCAGGACACAGAATAATCAACCACTGAATGCGTGTGATGGTCCTAAGCATATATAAGGTATTAATTCTTTGGTCTCTTGACTGGGTTTCCCCCCAAC